CTGTTGAGTTATTAACCCATGTTCATTCAAATTCATAGTTATTATGTGACTGTTTGCTTGCTTAGTAGGTAGTGTCAGGGGCGGCTCAAGGATATGTGAGGCCTAAGGCCAAAGTTTAATATGGGGCCTAAATTTTTAAAAGATAGTTATAACATACGTTTTGTTTGAAATATATTCTTCTAACTTTTTGAAATACAAAGTTGTTAATAATCTTTTTTATAATCGAATTTCTCTAATTATCTTTATTCAATTGATAATATAGCCAGCTCATTTAATTTTCTTGAGATATTGTTGATATTAGATAATATTTTATAGAGCAATAGAAGTATAGAATTATTGGAAGCTTAAAAGTATTGTTGAACAGTGGAGCTAATGAAATTTTGTAGAAAGAAAGTGAGTAATGAAATATTGGAGAAAGAAGGTGAGTAAGAATATTAAAGAAAAGACAGAAAATATATAGGGGTTTCTGAAATATAAAGAGATTGGAGAAAAGAAAGATTGACTTAGACATATTAAAAAAGGAAGAGTGAGTTTTTGTATACATTATCTAATGAAGGAGTAAAACTGAAACGTTGCGAAAACTATTCATCTATCTTTTTTAAATATGTCAAATTACTACTTTATTTACATATCTAAAGAGCTTTATTTCCTTTTATATTAAAAACTCTAATTTTGTATTGAAAAGTACTAAATATTATTTTTTAAATACCTATAAACCTATTCTTTTTTTAAAAATGGGGCCCTCCAAATTTGGGGGCCTAAGGCACATGCCTTACCCCTCATCACGTTAGAGCCGGCCCTGGATAGTGTTAGACGATGTCGCTGCTCCGGTGAAAGTTGGGTCGTGACAGTTGATGATCACAGGGAGTGTTATTATTATATATCTAGTAACATTTCTGAGAGAGCATGGATTATCCTCAACACCACAACAAGTACTAATAACACTTCTCAGCATATTTGCTGCCCAAATCCTAATGTTCATTGATATGCCGATGAACATAGCACAAGTCGGCCAGGAAACTCACAGTGTGTAGAAGTACTCTCCCTCGCCATGTTTTTCCCCATTATGAAGTTCTACAATCTCATAGCAAGATTATGGGAGAAATTCTAAATCCTAGTTCGCTTGGAAAGAGAAATTTGAAATTTTGTGGATTTCTTTATCACTTGTTTTTAATCTATCACGCATGCCTCGGGTATTCCAATGCCCTCAAACCATCTTCAGCAGTAGGTACTGAAGCAAAACCACTAATGGTTATCGTCCTTTTCATATGGCATACGGATTTGATGAAAATAAAATATTTTCATCAATTACTCCTGCTTTATTAATTTTTTTATTTTATCAAAAATAAAATATTGAGCTTCATTGGTAGCAATTGCATCATAATTATTTTAGTTGAGGCTATTTTTATTTTCATGAAAGAAGAAAAAAGAGAAAAGGGGGAGAATAACAGGTGATCTGCTATTATTTTTATTAGAGTATGTACACACGGTGTTCTCCCCGTTAAAAACTAACATTTATTTGGAGAAGGATCAACTGAAAATACAGCATATTAAAAATGTTTTAAAAGGTGTATCAATTTGGATTCGAAGTCGCGCTACATGAGAGGAAACCCTGACTCTTTACCACTGGCACCTTGCGAAGACTTAGGTCTCCGAGTGGCAAGATTGATATTTATAGCATTTCTTCCACAAATATTCATATATTATATATATGAATTATACGTATATTATATATCAATTACTAAAGTATGTTTGGTACGAAAGAAAATATTTTCTTTAAAATGTTGGATGGGCGTGCGGATGGGTGGTTGGGGGTCGGAAATATGGTAGGAAATATTAAAAAAGACTTTTGAAAAATATTTTTTCTCATTTTGATAAGGAAAATATTTTCTTCCAATTAGAGGAAAAATGAGTCCATGAGAAAAATATTTTTTAAACATTTAAGCCAACCAGATATAGAAAAATTGGAAAAATAATTTCACAAAATATTTACTTTCGTACCAAACACACCCTAAATGCCAATTTCGTTAGAGGGTGTGTTGTGTGTAGTTAGCGATATCTATCTATATCTATATACTATATTAAAAATACGAAATTCCTTAGCGAAATGTCGTTTGCCTTTTTTTTACCCTTTAAAACATGTAGTTCATATTGGACAATATAGTAATTTGAGTATTTCATTAATATTTAGGTATAATTTTTTAATTAATTTTTCTACAATTTAGGAATAGTCATTTATTGTTAATAAAATTTTGCGTAAACGCTCACTACACGCTAGGAAAGTTTGCCTTTCTAATTCTATTTATACTTTGGAGTACTAAATTTCTCCATTCTCCTTCTAATTAGGTTTAGGAGATTACTTTTTGTAGTTAATACAATTTTGCCTAAACTAGGAAAGTTTGTCTTTCAACTGCATTTATATTTTGCATTATTAAAAATTACCTTTTATCTTTTTAAGTTTAGGAGATTTTTTTGTAATTAATAAGATTTTGCCTAATTCTTACTAGAAAAAATAGTTATTTAATAATTTTGTTAATATTTAGGATTTTGAGATACTAAAAGTTTAGTTGTTAAATTTTTTCTTGTCCGTGAGACACTATAAACTTTTTGATAGGCGGATTTAATTTGAATAGGAATGGATCGAATAGTATTTATTATATATCCCTAATAAGATTGACAATTATTTTGAAAATATTATAATTATTCTAGGACGATTATGTATATTTATTTTATTTTTTGTATTACAGATATTTTATTACCAAGTAAACATTATATACAAGAAATAAAAATAAAATTGATTGAGAGCTGTACGTTCCCAAGTTAAGTGAACCTCCTACAACTCCAAAACAACTAGACAACAACAAATAATCACAAAGAATTTTCAATCACAACTTAGAGTTCTGATGTTATAAGAAATATTCATCTCATATATAACCGTAATGTGCTAATAAGTACTCCCTCCGTTTTAATTTAGATGGGGTAGTTTAGTCGGCACGGAGTTTAAGAAAAAAATATTTTTGAAACTTGTGGTCTTAAAAGCTTAAAGGGTAAAAGCTTGTGGGGCCATGACATTTGCGTGGTTATAAAAACTTCTCATTAAGGGTAAAATGGGTAAAATGAATAGTTTAAAGTTGAATTATTTCCAAATTTTAAAAATGTGTCATTTATTTTGGAACATTCTAAAAAAGAAAGTATCTCATCTAATTTGAAACATAGGGAGTAGCAAACTCCTTATATAACACATATTGAAATATTTTGGCAATTGTAACATAAAAGTTAAGTAAGGAATTTATACTTATTGTCTTTGCCAAATTTCTTGTGAAAAATAACTTTAATTTATAATTAGCAATTTAAAAATACATGTGGTATATTAAACCGTTAGACTTATTATCTCAGATGCAAATAGTAGATGTGTAATTATTTTATCTAAGTCACCATGGTACATACTAAAAATCTCTTATCAACATTTTCAAAATTTTAAATCCAAATATTTAAATTCACAATAAAAATGAAAAACTAAAATACTCAGTTTCTTATTTAAACAAATTATTTTATTTTCTTATAAAAGTATTTTAGATATTATAAGCGATTAAATATTTTTAATCAAACCAGACTTACCTTTAATAAAATGAGAACTGACTATAGACACATATAGAAACTAAACATTAACCGAAAACTGATGAAAGAATTTTAATTCTGATTTTGAACATGTATTTCATATTTTGATTCCTTCTAAAATAATATTAACATACTATCCATTCGAATCAATCAATAGTAAGCAATTCAATTTTAGTCATACATTGCTTACATAAGAAGGCATCTTCCGGATGCATAGGGATGTAGAATCTGAATGCATGCTTATAAGAGAAAGCTCACTCCAAAATGAAAAAGAATAAATTAATCTAAATGTAATTTTTGTATTCTACTTTTATGATAGTGATTTATATTAATTAGGTTAAATTTTTAGTTGAGTATATAGATAGACATGATTAAGAACATTTACATAACTTCTACCTTTATTGAGTTAGCTAAATGTGATCAACAATCATTAATTTTAAAAATTTATACTTTTTTGTTTAACTTTTAAGTAATATTTAACTCAAATATATTTTTAATATAATAACTAATATATGATCTTTTAAAGTTTTGTATTCAAAGAGACTGGGTACACGCACAACGCACATACCAAAAAACTAGTAGTATGTGTATATCTCTGGAATACTCCAATGGAAAATGTTTGATAGATCAAAATGCCATATAAAGTGGATTGTCCTTTTTACACTTAAAATGAGTTACAGAACGCAAGATAGAGAAAAATATTTAATAACTAATCGTCAAATCTTGCAAGTTAGAGAAAAATATTTAATATTTGATAATAATTCAAAATAAAAAATATTTTAACAACTAGTATATATTAGCATGATATTTATACTAATCCAAACTTATAATACATACAACTCGTAGTATAAATGAGACTCATATCTCATCCAACATTATCCAAATATAGCAACTGCAGTTAAATCCCACTCGGTCAACTATATAAATCACGTTCAAACATATTTTGCATTGTGAGAATTTATAACAAAAAAATTTAGAATATGTAATCCATTTTTTTTAAGTCTTGTAGCGTATTCGTGCAATAGACATACATAAATATTAGTACACATATATAGTTGTACATAGATCCACCCTGATGGCGTGTGTATATATATAAACAATAATCCACCTACCTACCTAGAAATAAAAGTTTGGGATTTACTATAAAATCCTAAGATTTGCCTCTACTATCTCGGTGCTTGACACCTCGTCTAGCTAATTACCTTGCACAATGCAAGGCAGAGCTCCTTAAGTTGAAGTAGTCATCACCACAAAAAACTTTTAAGAATATATTGAGAAAATTTGACCTAACAACCATTTTTTTTTCCAAATACACTCGTATGTAATACTAATAGTACGATTTTCAAGCTTATCCAAACAAAGAGAAACAATGTAATCAATTGCATGCACGTGGAGAATCAGTCAAAACAATCGTGAATATAAGTGAAAATCCATAAAAATTTACCTACATGCACTAGTAGAGAACTAATTGACATTTTGAAGGTGAGAATCATGAAGATGAAAAAAGATAAGCTTATAGAGCTGAAAAGAGCAGTGGATAGTGTGGAAATAGTGGATGCTCATTCACATAACATTGTGGCCCTCGATTCCAATTATCCTTTTCTCAAATGCTTTTCTGATGCCACTGGGGATGCTTTATATAATGCACCCTATACCCTCAATTTCAAGGTCTATTTCTTATCCTAATTTTCAACACAGATGTTAGCTCTTTTATAACAATTTTGAATTAACCCTTTTGGAGCATGTTGTATAACGTCATTGTTATGATATGTTAAACATAGGTTACAATTTGAGGCGGATCTAGCATAGTTTAATTGAATTAATTGTTTTCAGCTCAAATTATGTGTGCACATGTAAAAATGGTTATAAAAAATCGAAGTTATATACACTAACGCAATATAATTTTATGATAACACTCATAATCTGAATACTAGGGACAATATAATTCAGGTCGTTCAAGTTTGATCACCAGTTCATCAAATTCTAATATAATAAGGAAACTAAGTGGTCAGTAGAATTTAATGGTTTTGTGATTAATTAGAGATAATCTGCCTGCTTATTCCATTACTAGGGACTTGGTTTGGGCTTCGAGTTGCGGCCATCTCATTGATTGTCAGTTCAATTTACTTTCTTTTACTTAGCAATTAACTGAGCCAAGTATAGCGAAGGGGTATGTTGAATAAATTTTAGACTCCAATATTTTCATTCTTAACATTTTCAGGCATCGCCATGGAATATCTGAGTAAGGAAACAGAGCAGTTTTAGGGTCATAGTAGCAGAAGGGGTTATTAGGATAAATAAAAGGGGTTTCTATGTGGGTTAATGGCTTTTAGTCTTGAAAGTTGTTGAAAACAAAGGGTGGTTTTTCGCTGGAAAATCAAATCAGTGGTAAAAAGATTACAACTATACGTTTCTTGTTGCACAGTTTTTTTTTGTTTTTTTTTTTCAAAAATTTACAACGTAACTTCTTCCAAAAATGGAAATGAGTTGTTCTGTCATTTCCCTCTTACTTATATTGCTTTATGTTGCACTGCTTTGTTTTTTTGTAGAGAGGCCTGAGGGAACTGACAGAACTATATGGCCCAAGCTTAAGCTTAAGCTTAGGTTTGCATACTGTTCTAGAAACTCGCCGGAGCTTAGGATTGGAGCAAAGCGCTATTACTTGCTTCAGGGCTGCAAGAGTATCTACCATACTTATTGATGATGGAATTGAATTGGATAAAATGGTTGACATTGAATGGCACAAAAAAGTTGTGCCAATGGTTGGTAGAATACTACGAGTTGAACATCTAGCTGAAACAATTCTTCAGAAGGTAATGTACAAATCATTTCGTAGTATATACTATTGCATTGAGTTTAACTTTTGTACATCGACAGCTATCAAGTCACCTTAAATCAATTGCAGATAAAGTTTTATAACAAAGTATACACTAGCAACCTGCTAGTTGCCTACACTTCTTTTTTTAACTGACAGTCTACACTGACAATGTAAAACTTTTACAAGGGTATATACGTTAAATCATATTGCAGCAGTTGAAAAGATGGAAAGTTAATGTGTTATTCTTTGGAATTAGGACTATTTTAGTGTTGTTTAGCCTGTTCTTTCACCATTTAGTGCCTCAATTAATAGAAAATGAGCCAAGATAGNGGAAAAGCACTATTTGTTGGTGTGGAAATGTGTTATTCTTTGGAATTAGAACTATTTTAGTGTTGTTTAACCTGTTCTTTCACCATTTAGTGCCTCTCAATTAATAGAAAATGAGCCAAGATAGATGTATCTTATTTAAAACATTATATGGTCTTTGCTCTTTTTCAATAGGGTTGCTTCCCTCCTTGCTTGTATTTGTCCGTGCTTTGCCTTAGAATTTGATTAATGTAAAAGGTTCTCTTGTAGACTAATAGTTCTAAGATCAGATGACCATTCACGAGGACGCTATTTTATCAAACATTTTGTGCGATCATAAGATAGTCTTGGCATTGCTACTAGTGGAGGTTACAGTTTTCATACTGCGGATTACAGGTTTTTAAGATAATAAAGAAAAGATAGACATGAAATAGTACCAAAGTTTTGGCATTCCCCTATGAATTACAAACAAAATTGGTAGGACATTGAGAAGAGAGGAAAATGGGAGCTAAAAGAATAATGAATGAACATGTCAATGAACTAATGTGAAAATTATGAGCAAATTTTTTTAATCTCTTTTAAAGTAATGCCATAATCGACTTGAATCTCCGATCCATCCGGGAAAGACCTGAATTTGTAGGCTGGCATATATAAAGAGGTAGTATAGGACAATATCATGCTTCATGTAGAACTATTTCTACTGCATGGTTCATTGTCCAATTCTTTTACGGTATTAAATTACTGATGGCTCTTTTGCTTTTAACGACTATGATGAAGTGGAGGGGCTTGAAGTTCTTGCATTGTTTGGGGTTGGTTGTTGTAACTATTGATATCACTTCCACAAGAATACTCTGTCTTTGTTATCTCTTTGTACCCCTATAGTTTAGATCTGATTATCTCTTTCTCCTGTTCTGTTCTATTCTAGGCTGCAGATGGAACAACATGGACACTGGATTCATTCATGGAGATTTTCACTAAGGAGCTGAAGTCATATCCTTTGAATTATGAGTCAATATATTCCAGAGTAGTTCAAAACATGTTTCTTTTGATGTGTAAAAAGTTATGCTTTCGGTATGTTTTTCCTATTCGTTTCACACAGTAGCTGATAATGTTGTTGCATTTAAAAGCATGGTTGCATGTTGTAGCGGCCTTGCAATTAATACAGAAGTCACTCAAAAAGAGGCTGAGGAGGGCCTGAGTGGTGTTTTATGCGGTGAGTTGCAAGACATCGGGTTGTAATGCATCATGATTGAGCAGCTGATTCTAATAGTTCCTGTCTTTCCAGCTGGGAATCCCATCAGAATCTCAAACAAGAGCTTCATTGATTATATATTTATGCATGCTTTGGAGGTCGCTCAAAGTTATGACTTGCCAATGCAGATACACATGGGGTAACCAAAATAATGCTTTATATAGATAGCTTGATCTCAATTTCTTTCTAGCTTCTTACAGTATTTGATCAAGTTAACAGTCTTTAAGCCCTTTCTTATATGTTAATTTTCTTATTCAAAATCAAAAAACCAAATGAGAGACATATGCATTTTGTTTTTGCTTTTATAGTATATTCCCAGTCCTTATAAGAAACATTGTTATGTTTCTTCATTTCAGTTTCGGGGACAAGGATTTTGATATGATGCTTGCGAATCCCCTTTATCTTCACAATCTTCTTGAGGATAAGAGATTCACTAATAGCCGATTAGTGCTTTTGCACGCGTCCTACCCATTCTCAAAGGAAGCTTCACATCTGGCTTCTGCATATCCTCAAGTAAGATATTTAATCCTCTATCTGAAAATATTAACATGTAGAATTACCAACCAAATTAGAGACTTTTTTCACATCAATTGTTAATGATGAATTATTTCGCCTCGTGTCTCTGTAACATGGCCATTGTCTTCTATTATAGGTCTATCTTGATTTTGGGTTTGCAATTCCTAAACTTAGTTTCCATGGGATGATATCCTCAGTGAACGAACTCCTGAAACTTGCTCCGATGAATAAGGTTGTTCATGTACTTAAAGATACATTGTTTTCCAGTTCAGGCTACAGATTTCCATATTAGTAGGTTGACTACTCTTTCAGACTTCATTAAAGAGCAAATATTTTCCCTTTCTGATGTTTGGATATCAACAGGTTATGTTCAGCACTGATGCCATCGCGTTTGCTGAAGCCTTTTATTTAGGTTTGGCCAGAATTATTCTTATCTTGTATCCTTAAAGTATGACATGACAAGCATTTGTGACTGTTAGCTTTCACAAGATAAAAAAATTAAAGTTTTGCTTCAGCTAGTCTGAAATGCCTACTAAATCTGGCTAGCTAAGAAGTAGAAACACTTATGAGAGGATGTCGTGTCCTTCTCCCACACTTTGTCTAACACAATTTTGTTAGAATTTGGGCAATATAAGATAAATGTTTGGCTGTGTCCATATTTTTTCTGGTGTTTGATTGTCGACATGTGTCTTTGCTTATCCTGAATGTGTTATGCACATTAGGATAATATCAATTTAGGTTGCATAGTCAGATTACACAATAAAGATTCTTAAAATCAATTGAGAAACAATAGAATAGGAAGTAGAAGGAAGAAAGAGGATACCGAACACTGTCTATGGGAAGATAATGAATATAGACAATTGGTGATAGACTAACAAGGTTGCGGTGGAGTGGTTTGTACTCCTTCATCCTTAACTAGAGGTCTTAGGTTCGAGCCCTGGGTATGGAGCCGCCTTTGTTAGGGAACGCTTTACCCCCAATGTGAGACTTCCCGCCACGAATCCGGATTTGGTCAGGCCCCAATGCATGTACTGGACACCGGGTGGGAACCAAAGAAAAAAAAAAGAGACAATTGGTGATAGTGTTAGAAAAATTTATAAGTATGTATGCAACACATTTATACTTCAGAATTAGACTATACCTCAGATATTAGACACATATATGCTCCTTAAATTGCGTTGTTCATTTGTATAGAGATATGAATGACATACAAAAATCTACTGTAGGTACATCCATATTCTGCTCATGTCTTTACATGAACCATATTATGAGCAGTGTTCTGTCCACTCCATCCCATGCTACCTAACTGGATTGTTTTACCTATTGGAAAGTTGAATTTGTATTTATTAAACTATTTATTGAGTAACTAAAAGCTATAGTTAATTCTACATGCTGCGGTGAAAATGTGCTGCAAATATTGCTTGAGGCACATTTTCACTCTGATCAAGTAAGTTATCATTCAGAAGCTGTAAGGAAAAGTAAATTATTGCCGAAGAATAATATCCAGCTTGATTTGCATGCTAGTTAAATGAGTTCATCTTCTTCCCATCTTGTTATGAGTATAACCTAAACTTGATTTCTAATGCAGGTGCAAAGAGAGCACGTGAAGTAGTATTCTCTGTTCTACATGATGCGATGGTTGAGGGTGATCTTTCAATTACAAAAGCTGTGGCAGCCGTTAAAGATATATTTGCAGAAAATGCAAAGAAGTTTTACAAATTGCACAAACTTGATGTTTCTTCAAAAGATTCTGATATAGAACCTCATATACCGTCTCCCTTCATTAAGGAAGAGTTACATGGTTCATTAAAGGATTCTTCAACAGATTCTGATGTAGAACCTTGTATATCGTCTTACTTCCAGAATGAAGAGTTATATGGCTCATCAAAGGATGTTACCCTTGTTCGCATTATTTGGATAGATGCTTCTGGCCAACATAGATGCCGTGTAAGCTTTACATTTGTCTTTAAGTTACTGCTTTTGCCTTGTGATAACGAATTATTTAATGATATGCTTTATAATACTAAATCTTTGGTCCTCTTTGAGAAAATACAAAACGTTTCAATAGTATACAAGATGGTTAAAGAATTTTCAATGATAGCATCAACAAACAGGTGAAAGGTTGCGTAACCATAACAATCTGAAGAAACATATCTACTCAACTTCTCTGTTTCATCTTACCTCAAATAGGAGGTTGTCATCAGCTAAAACAAAAGATGGTTCTTTATTTTGTGAATTTGAGAATTTGATTTTGTGAAGCATTGAACACTTTGTGTTTCAACAAGCTTGCTAGTATTATTCTGCTTTCACTAAGAAAAGGGTGTACGCCGACTCAATTAATGAGTCCAGCTATGACAATGCTTAGTATCTACTTCTCATTGTTAATTTTTGAATTATGGTTTAAAAAGTTCTTGCAAAAAATATTCAAATGGATTTCCTTTTAATATTTTGTTGGTGCATTCTGTTGATGCATCATTGTGATGGTGCATCATTGTGATGCTTTGGCTATGATTTTAAGGGCTTTCTGGTTATTTTGAGTATTTGGTTGGCTATGATAATTTGAATGTTGAAAATCCTGTTGGACATTATTTCTAATACCAAATTGCAATTGTATCAGATGTATTATTCAGGATAAATACAACAAGCTCATTAGTCATTATAGTTTCAGCCATTTTGATTGCCTTCACTACATGATGTGGCACATCGCTCGGTGCTTCCCTGTTCTGGCAAAGAAAACATAATGATTTTGTTTATTTCTTCCGCATCATTTGCAGGGTGTTCCACGGCAGCGCTTCTATAGTTTTGTGAAAAAGCATGGTATAGGCTTACCTCGTGCATGTATGGGGATAAGTTCAATATCTGATTATCCCGTAGAGGACACTACTCTCACCTGTTCGGGTCTGTTCACAATTGTTCCTGATTTATCAACCAAATGCAGAATTCCATGGTACTGTTTCGACACCTGTCTATAAGAATATTCTACTATTATGTGATATACTTGGAGACATGTAAGAATTTATGGAACATCAAGCTATAAAGTATTTTCTGGATGATTTGTCTAAATTCATACTCACATTGATGTCTATTGCTTTTGTTGTTGTTCCACTTGTCTGCAGAGGTAGATTCAGGATTTAAAATTGATAGGTTCAATCTGTATTTATTATAGCTGAAACCATTGCTCTTTTGAAATTTTGAGTTCAGAATATAATGTTTGTTTGAATATTCGTGATCTCTCACATATATACCTATGCTCTTTGATCATGTTGTTTCCAGGACAGAAAATTTTTCAAACAAGTTTTGATGTGCATCTTTTGATCCAGGGCAAAACAGCTGGTTTTGGCTAACATGTGTACTAAATCTGGTGAACCATGGGAATATTGTCCAAGAGAAGCTTTACGCAGAATCTCTAAAATTTTAAAAGATGAATTCGGTTTGGTATGTTTACTATCTTGCCCAGCAAAGAGTTGAAAATGTTATTGATCTTACGCGTATCTACATTTTTCAGGTCATGACTGCAGGCTTTGAAGTTGAATTTTACCTTCTAGAGAGTGTAATAAAGTATGTGAGCCATAATATTTTTGTATCTAGTCTTCCGTCATATATGTTTCTAGAGCTGTCCTTTATAGAACGTTACACTAAATATGTACAACTGAATCACACAGGAATGACAAAGAAGAATTTGAATCATCGGATCAGTGCAGGAAGTGCCATACAGCAGCATTTGATGCTGCATCCCCTATGCTTGAGGAGATGCTCGGTTATCTTCAATCCTTGAATATTACTGTAGACTATGTAAGTTTCTATTTCCTTGAATGTTTGCTTACTAATTTGATGTTTCTCGTGTTATCTGCAAACAGTACTGTAGCTAATTAGGAGATTTTAGAATGCATTTCCATTTATTCCGCTTGAGTTGAGCTTAGGACTCGAGGTATTTTGTGCGTGCCCTATTGAGAGAATCTTCCGTGAGCTTCACCAGACATATAGAACTAGCTTCTTTGCTCCGATTCTGCCCCTAAAGTTAGCTCCTACTCCTCCTCTCACTGAAAAGGCGTATAGTGAGACACGTGCTAACTATAGGTAGAAAGCAGGAACCAAATGTAATAGTACATGAAAATATTCGACTTCATATTTAAGAGTAGAGCTCAATTCAAGGACTTCAGGAAACATGTTGTACTACTATGACATGTGTTTTCAATGACAATTCCTTCTCAAAGTAATATTTGATTTGCATGACACTTCTGATGATGCAATGTTAAAAATAATAAGGAAAAGATTTGTTTTCTGTTCCTTGTTCCTAATCCCTCAGCTAATCGTATTGTGCTTATAGCCTTTTATTAGGGTGTCCTACATTTGGTTGAGGGAATGAGTGTTGTCTCGTTATATAACAATAATAACATACCCGGTGTAATCCCACAAGTGGGGTATGGAGAGGGTAATTGTTACGTAGACCTTACCATTATCTTACCCCTGCCTTGTGTAGGTAGTATTGTCTCGTTATATGGTCTTTGCGATTCTCATCTCATGAATTAGCTTTAGCGGTTGAGTTAGATCAAAGTACTTTTTCGTCACATAGTATTAGAATCAGATCCATCCATAGCTATTCTTGGTTTACCAATATTGTACCCCATGTTATGTTGTCCATGCTTAAGATGCCCAATTCTAGGAGTTTGGGGAGAGGGGGGGGGTGGGGAGAGACGACATCTGATTCAAGAATCATGAAAGAANGGGGGGGGGGGGGGTAGTGTGTCCCAAATTAGTTGAGACTTGAGGGTATGGATCAGAAATATATAATCTAACACTATTACTCCACACAGAAATTGCTACTTATTATCGCATTTCTTGACGTATATACAGAGGCGGATCTAGGATTTCTTGTACATGAGTGCACTACTAAAAAAGGAGGAAGAAATGTATTAAGTGAGAATTGATCACTATCTTTCTTGGTAAATAACTCATACTTCAACCAAGTGCACCAACTTTCTTGGAGCATGGGAGCCAACAGTTAATATTATACCAATTTTAGAAAATATGTACATAAAATATCTAATTTTACGGAAAGCCCACGGGTTCACGTGCTCCATATTTTTGCTTATACATCCGCCCCTGCGTATATATATATGTGTGTGTGTGTGTGTGTGTGTGTGTGTTTGTTTGTTATAATTACTTTTGTTAATTTATGAAGATATGTTTATCATTATCCTTCATATGCTGAAGAACTATTTCTAGTCAGATCAATGTGCCATAGAACAATCATAGAAAGTGAAGTATTGAGGATCTCTCTGCTTTTCATTTACAGAGGAAGGTATGTTGAAATTGTCAAAAGTCCCACATCGGTGGATGACAATTTTGAATGGGAATTTTACCCTATAAAAGGAGGCCTAATGTTTAGGATTTAAAGTACACCTCTCATTTGCCTTTTTATCTTCTTAAGGCATTTGTATCTTCTCTCTTTAGTATTATTTCACTTGTAATTTTAGAGTGGAATAAAATATTGATTGTGTCCGAGGAAGTAGGCAAAATTGGCCGAACCTCGTAAATTCTGGTGTTCTTTTATTGTTGTCTTATTGTCTTGTTTATTATTTAGTGGTTGTCATAATTTTTGGTATAGTAGTTGTGACTCATTCACACTATATACATTTGGCTTCCGCAACAATTGGTATCAGAGCCAAGGTACTGTCTAAGTATGCTCTGTGATTGCAGCATAGTCTGATCTTCCACATCAGAAAAGATCTATCTTGGTAACTGAGTCAAGGTTCTGTCTGAGTATGCTCTGTGGTTGCAGCTTAGTCTGATCTTCCACACCAGAAAGGAAATAATCTTGATTTGTGTCGTCAGCTACTAAATAATATTTGTGTCAAAATGGAAGACAATAAACAAGAAGAATCTACATCAAGTGTCAATAATACGTCATCGTTGGCATCTTCGCTTATGACAAGAATTGTGTCAAATGCGAAATTTGCGGTAGAAATTTTTGACGGGTCAGGACATTTTGGGATGTGGCAAGGCGAGGTTCTAGATGTTCTTTTTCAACAAGGGCTAGATCTTGCCATTGAAGAAAAGAAGCCAGATGTTATTGGAGAAGAAGACTGGAAAATTATCAATCGTGTTGCTTGCGGTACTATTCGATCCTACCTTGCTAGAGAGCAGAAATATCCATACACAAAGGAAACTTCTGCAAGTAAATTATGGAAAGCACTGGAG